TAGGCCTGTTCGACTGGTCGTCCTGTCATGACTGCATGGAGGTCGGCGCACCGTCGGTGAAGAGAATGAACTTGGGTGTCGGTGGTGTGAGGAACGGAGAAGAGCTTGCGCCGATGGACCCCGTGACCATCCTCGAAGATACCCCGAACCTCCCAGCCGGCACGGTACAGCACTTGGTGTTTCGGAGGGGGGACGATCCCCCCTTCCACTCCCCGCATCTCAAGCCGGCGCAATATGTCGGAAAGTTGAAAGGAATGCGGCAGATTTTGTGGGAGAGGGGGCTCCTGGTCAAAGGCATGAGTAAGACGGGGGGCTCGGGCGAAAAGCAGGACCTCAGCAAGAGCATGGAGCACGTTTTGGGAGAGCAGAAGGACTTCAAGGAAGTTGATTCTAGTCTGGTGCTGTTGATGCAGCGCCACGGGGGGGCCTGTCTCATACTTCCTAAGTACCACTGCGAGTGTAACCCCATCGAGCTTGTTTGGGGCCGAGCGAAGGACTGGACTCGAAAGAACTGCAAATATTCGTTGGAATGCTTGCGCGAGAACGTGCCGCTGAGTTTTAGACCAGAGAAGGATAGACAGGCTGTTTCGGTAGTCCAGGGCTACTGCAAGAAGGCGTACACACACGCCCTCATGTACCGCGAGACGCGTGTGCAAGGGCCTGAGGGCAAGAAGACGTACAAGAAGTACAAGTCGCACAGGCGCCAGACCCCGAAGGAATGGAGGCCGTAGAGTCGATGGCGCATTCTTGTTCATTGAGCTGTATTTGTTCAGTTTTTTTCCGTGTTTCTGGTGGGAATGTTGTACAAAAATGGAACATTTTTGTTGAAAACGGCCAATATTTGTGATGTATGTACGCTATAGGTGCGGTAGAGGCATTTGCATAGTGTTTGAGGGCGTTCCTGTGCGCGTGTGAGTGGTTGGTGCGAAAAAAAAAAAAGATTAGCAACATATATGGGGGAAAAGTTGCTCTAGCGCCAATTTCGTGGGTTCGAGACCCGCCGCGAGCATCTTTTTTCATTTTTTTCTCTTTTTTTCATTTTTTTTTTTGGCGACTCGCTACTCTTTTGCGCCTTGCCGCGGGCGTTCCGACGCTGTTTTTCTTTTTCTATTACTCGCTCTCAGTCAAAAGTTAGGGAGGGACAACCAAAATCGGGTCCTTAAAAATTACCACTTTACCGCGAAATATACCATTCCGATTGTTTCGGAGCAGCCCATCTCTCGAAATCCGGGGAGAACCCGTGGGGGGGGAGGGGTGGAAGCAGTCACGGCAATGATGTGTCGTGTCGATGTTCTTCTGGCCGCCGGACACGGACCATCCGCATCATTTATTTCATGCACCACCGTTCTCACTTGTTTGTGCGTACGTGCATCACGCCATCGTACCGGACGCCTTTGCTTAGGTGCCGTCTACAAACAATTCGTGTTCCTTGCTGAAAACTGTATACAGTCGACCCCGCTTTAAGGATGCACATGTTTTTTCCCGAAAACAAGCGTCCTTTAAGCGGGGTTGCGTCCTTAAACTCAGGGGACAATAGCTCCCCATCCCCGGGGTCAATGAAGGCATGCTATACCTCAAACTACAGATAGCGCCCGCACTTAGCAGTCAAGCTCACCATCCCCGGGGTCAATGAAGGCATGCCATACCTCAAACTACAGATAGCGCCCGCACTTCAGAACTTAGCAGTCAAGAAATGGAGACTCGCAAAAAATCAGAAGCTAAGAACTTGAGCACCATTTGTGAGCTCGGTTGAGAACCCTACTCTAAATCCTATATAGCGGCCATTTGTAGCCCACAAGAGGATGATCAGCAAAATAAGAACCCCAGCCTCGGCCGACACTAGAGGTTCTTACGTGCGGGCGCCATATGTACGCGTCTTTTGCTAAGCAAGGGTGTGGTACGAAAAGTCAGCATCGCCGAGACGAATGGCAACCGTTTGTTGACGTCGAACATATTTACAATACTTGAAATGAGATGTACAGCAGTCGGGGACGTGAACACAACTACATACAGTACACCAGTTTGAACTTGGCCAACTTAATGTACTGCTTCGCTGGCAGCGAAATAAGGAGCAAAGTCCAAGTAGAAATATATTTATCTCATTCTCGTGAAACAAAAAAAAAAACGAGCGTATTCAGCGTCGCACCGAGGAACACAAGTACATATCACTGTCCCGGCGGAGACCAAAAGTTACCCTGATGGCTTTTCCATCCACATACCGCAAAGAGTTCCCTGAACCTCCCCCCGCGGCTTGGCTCTACGGCTCTGTTGAGTTTCATGAGTAAACGAATGAACGGTCTTCGAAAGAAGGTACTGCGTCTCACGGAACTCGCCACCCCTTCCCTTCGCGTATGAATGGGATCGAACGTCCTCCAAGCGAGAGATAAGCTCGCCCTCGGTGAGGGACGAGGTTATGCACGACTCCGGCCTGCCGTCGCCGTCGCCCTCTCCGCTCGATACGTCGTCGTCCATTTCTAAGCCGGCGAGATCCCTCTCGACTGCCTGCAGTTCCAACTCCACGTCCTCTTGTAACACCTCGGGGTCGTCCTCTACCGTAAGCCACGTCTTGACCGCCGTTCGGACTTCCTGCTATGTGAGGTCTGTGCCCTTCTCGACAAACAAATTGTTCGTCAACACTCGCGGCATGGACCTATAGTCCGTTGCGCTAGCTGGCATCGACATTTTTGAGACCATGTCACAAAGGCCGTCCATGATTGCCGCGTCGTCCTTGGCCTCTCGGTCAAGCCGCGTGTCCATGCCCTTGAGAACGTTGCAGTGCTCCCTGGGAAGGATGTGCCACTTCTGGGAACAGATCTCCGTGACGTCCAGCATTGTCGCCTGTCCTGCATCGCTGAGGCCCCGGCACCCTCTGCCGAAACGAAACACAGGGACGGATGAAAGTGCAATTTTTAAAACCAGCTGGACAAAAAAGTTGACACAACACCATTTTCAGAGCCTTCGCAAGACCTGCGACGACGGTAAGAAAGAGCGCCTCTACATTGTTGTTTTGAAGTCACCTTTGGGTTTTTCGTGCACGGACGGTGTCCCAGTCCTCGATGAGGTCTGCCAGCCTTGCCACCACCTCGGCTTTGTACTGGCACTTGAGTACAAACAGGATGCCCATGTCCGTGGGCTGGTAGATAGAAGTGACATTCGGAGGCAAGAGGATGATGACGACCTGCGAGTCGTTGCTTTCGATCTTGTGGCCGGGGCAGTTGTCCCACAAGAGGGCCTCCTTCTTGGAGGTCTTGCCTTTGACGAAGGGGATNGACGGTGTCCCAGTCCTCGATGAGGTCTGCCAGCCTTGCCACCACCTCGGCTTTGTACTGGCACTTGAGTACAAACAGGATGCCCATGTCCGTGGGCTGGTAGATAGAAGTGACATTCGGAGGCAAGAGGATGATGACGACCTGCGAGTCGTTGCTTTCGATCTTGTGGCCGGGGCAGTTGTCCCACAAGAGGGCCTCCTTCTTGGAGGTCTTGCCTTTGACGAAGGGGATAAAGACTTCGTCAAACCACCGCTGGCAAATGGCTGCGTCGAGCCAGGCACTCTCCTGGGCGAAGTAGGGACATGGCGGTTTTGCGGACGTGGCGGAAAATCATCGATTTTCTCGACGTGCTGATGACGGCCAACGGCACCATCAGAGACCCGATCGTATTGCAGCAGGCGACCACCGTGCACCGATCCTTGGCCTTCATGGCCTTCGAACCCCGCGCGGTTTTGCTGTTGACGCCGGCGGCGGCCTGCCCCCTCGTGACGTGTGTACCTCTCGGGAAGCAGCGGAAGAAAAGTCCCATCTCGTCCATGTTAAAAATGAACTCGACGTCGAACTCCTGCAGTTGCTCACGAATCCTCTCGATCTCCTCTGCCACCTTCTGCTTGTCCACGTCGCCAGCTTTTCCGCGCAATTGGACGTAAGTGAAGCTGTAGCGTTTCAGGAAGCGATGTAGCCAGCCGTTGGTCGCCTTGAAGTTGGCCTTCCCCATCTGCGCCGCGATCTTCAAGGCCTGGGCCTGGATCATCGAACCACTCACGCCAATCTTGGTTGCCTGCGTCGGGAAAGACATAAAAAGAAACAGCAGCGACATGGTTTCGATCAACTCTCCCTTGAACTGGTTGTGCGTTCAGTCGGCCAGCTTGAAACAGGTGGACTAGAGCTTGTCGAACCCCCAACCCAGCAGCTTGGTCGAGAGTGGGAGGAGGTGTAGGGGCGGAAAGGTGTAGGCGTATAGACAACCAAGTTGTATCCTGACCAACACATGACTAATGCCAAATATGTACTTACATTAGAGCGTTCTCGTGCGATCTTGATCCACTTGCGTAGTTTCTCTTCCACTTCGTCGTGTACCGGCTTCGGGGCGCGGAGGGCGTCCTGGTTGAGCTCCATGTCGCGGACTTTCTCAAGCTCAGCGATTTTCTCCGGGTCCACCAACTTGCTGATGATGTACGAAGTACCGACGTTCCACTTTGCACCAACCATGCTCCTCTTAAGCCCCGCCCTGGACCTCCTTGACAATCTGCAATCGCTGCGTCATCGAAAACTTGCTTTTGCCGGTGTCCCGTCCGGGCTTGGACACCCGAACTTTTTTGGCACTACCTGTGCCGTCCCCTGCGGCACCTCCGCCGCCTCCCCACGTGGCACCTCTGCCGCCCCCCCCCGCGGTGCGTTGAGGCCGTATCCCCTTCCTCGCCGTCTCTGACTCTTTGCCCCCAGCCGGTTGCCTCGTCCTGCGCGACAAATTTTGCGAAAAACGAGGGAATTGTGACATGTCAGGGCAGGTTGTTGGCAAATACACCCTTGTGAGAAAAAATGCCGTTGTGCCAAACACAACATGCGTTTATTTTCCAGAGAACGAGAGTGCTCGCACCTAACGCCGAGAGACTGCACGCAGCCAGCAGCTACAACTTACGCTGAATAAAAATAAGACAACAGAATATCACGACTGCCTCTATTTTGTACTTGTATGTTTTTCAAGTGCGAACCGTAAACACCAGAGTCCTCTGAACGTACAAAAGTTAACTTTCTATCAGCGTTGAACAACGAGAATCACTTCGGCAGCGCGGCATGCGAACTGCTTCAGGCGCAAGTTGCGTGCCAAAAGATGCACAGCAGTAGCGAGAGTCTTAACTTGGTTTTTTGACGCTCACTACAAATGCACACACACCGACACATAAATACTGGCGATCTTTTGTCACGACAACAAAAAAATACACACACCCGCGTTGACTGCGCAGCCCCGTGCGGACAATCTCAGTGAGTTTTCCTGGCATGCTGACACTGCTGTTGTTTGACAAGAATTAGACGAAGGCAAGGACAGCAATGTACATGTAACATCGTGGTGCAAGGTTTCCTGCTCAACAGCTCAACAGCACGCGTTCGGCCGATGGCTGCTGCTGCTGCTGCTGCTGCTGACTGCTGTAAATCATAATCATCACCTGCTGCTGTTCTCGTTGTCACTACTGCTGTCCACCTCCATGGGACTTGTGCCGGTGCCGATCTTGCCTGTAATCGTTCTCCTCTGACAATCTGTGCACTGTCTCTGCTGCCCGAAGCCTTCCTCACCGATTCCTCAGCCACAGAAGCCATGCATCGGCCGCCCGCATGAGCACTTATGGACTGCGGTGATCAGTGGCGAGATCTCATCGCACACGTTGGTTCTCCACATGTTTTTTAGGCGGCATTAGATGGACCGCCGTTAGATGGGAGGAATCCACCCATACCAACACCCAGTTACAGTTGCAGCAGCAGACCGCTCGCTACTTCTGCTGTCTGTGCGCCGATACTTCTGCACTCACTCTGTGGTGCGGGGTGCGTGCAACGACACGCGACCCGCAGGACACATTAAGGGGGTACGCAGCAGAAAAAAGGGGGTACCCCTTTATTGTACATTCCAGCGGGCCCCGTGGTGCTCAGAAGAAGGTTCCTTGATTGAAGCGGGGAGATTCCTTGACGCGAGCGTTGATGGAGCGGGGTCGACCGTAACCATTTCATTACACGTGTAAATAAGGTCTCGGCATCAGCAAATCGGCCATGACCTCTCACACCCAACCGCTGGCAGGTGTTGCTGTATTCTTTGCGCACAGCCCCGCCGGACCAACAAGTGTTTTCCCACGACGTTTGAACAAAAAAATACCTGTCATCAACAGCGCCCGTTCAACTTGTCGTTACCAGGAACGCACGTAAAAATTAAAGTGTGCCGACCAAAGAGAGGAGAGAGAGAGAGAGCGTGTCAACCGAAACAATTGGGCACAGCAGCGTCGCAACGTACGAAGGCTTCGCTACCCGTAACGGCAAACAAAAACGCAACATGCGGACCGTTTCATTGAACGTCGCGCGCTCTGGACTACCTCCCCCCCCGTATCCCGCAACAAGAGCAGACACAGTCATCTACAACAAAGAATAGGTTGTCTGTCACTCCCAGGTTCATCACGGCGAACCTGTGATGATTCTGGCTCTGATTACGGAGCCACATCCATATCTCTACGTGACACGAACACATACCTGGGCGCCACGATAAACGAATCATCAATCTATCGATCGATCGCCTCTGCAGTCCCCCCCCGAGCTTAACACAAATCAATAAATGCGTTCTGCGTCGATCGCATGCCTACAGCAGTCTAAACACACGTTGTCTCGTTTGTACATCTCAAACCCCGACGCTACCTGTGATTATGGCATGTACACACTGTAGCGAGACACCGAGCGCTATTTCCCGATGATGGCGTCTGCGGTGCCAACACCCTCGCCTCCAACAACCCCCACGTGAGAGTTTCGTGCGCGAGAGCAGTTTCTTCGACCAGATGCAACACGCTGTTGTTGAGGCGCACATGAAGCCTCCGTCAACCATGGCCGCTTCACTTCATGGAGGTGTTCGCACGACCGCCTCGCAGTGCCTGAATGTTGACTCTTTACGGTAGTCTTCACCAATAAATCCCGAATATGGTAGGCAACGTGGAGCCAGGTACGAGCAGTGAAACAGGTAGGGGGGGAAAAAACAGCCCTCCACTGTCTAAGAGAAGACGCACGCCACCGCTGCTGCGAACGCCCTCACATGCGCAATCAAGCCCCATAGATGGTGGTACATGTCTTCCTGCTGCCCCCCGCCCCCTCGTGTGTATGGTGACCTTTTACCCTTAACCCCTCCCCTCTTCGTTTTCTGCTCACTTGCTGCCGGATGCTGGTCTAACTATAACAATTGATCGCTCATCGCAACGCCGACCCTATGAAGTGGTAACTAAGCTGTCTGTCTGTCTGTCTGTCTGTCTGCCTGTCTGCCTGTCTGTCGGTGGGCAGGGGTGGCGTCACGCGTCCACCGGCCGGAAAGCGACAACCCCATTGTGTCCCCCGAAACCCTGCCATGGCCAGAACAGAGAGATGGGGGCAGAGAGAAGGGGAGAGAGAGAAATATAACAAGAGAGGGAGAGAGAAATAGTGTGTGTGAGAGAGAGAGAGAGACCGAGAGACAGAGGAAGACAAAGCACGAAAAACGCAATCAGCAACGATAGCCGGGGTCACCCCTCGCAAGCGAAGCGCACCGAGCGGCACCACAAGAAGCGCCACCGGCATTGGCATCGGCCGCACATTAACGGTGATGGCCAGCGGAGAAACACACCGGCGGCAATCCCATACTCCAGGCCCGTCCGCCCGTCCCTTCCCAGGTATGGCCTCTGACCTCACCCCTACTCGCACGAACAACCAATGCTGATCGACAATAAAACAGCACAAAGGCGGCGACCCATACCCCAGTCATTGGTCAGCATCTCTCTACGTCCCGTGTAGAATCAATCAACCGGAAGCTAACACGTTCATCCAAGACGTCGACCGGATCGCGATGGGCACTGTGGGCGCGCTCGGGTCGAACGCAGGCTGAAAAATAACTGGATGTAGCCCTTGTGCCTCTGCTGCCATCTCTGCCGGTCTCTCACCATCGCTGCTGTTTGCATGTTCTATTTTTTTTCTTTTTTTCTCACCAGGTTCGAACTGAGGGCCCCCTTGACTCTGTCCACCTTAACCTTCTCCTTGAAGATGCGGAGATCGCACTCGGGGTCCGGCGTATCGTAGTTTATCGTCGGCGGTAGCTCGCCCTTGACCACGTAACAGCGCAAGAAAGAAAAACACACACCGCACGCAAGAAACAAGGAACGAAAAAAAATGCAGGTTTTCGCGTCGGCAAAGAGTGGTTCTTGGGGTGGGGAATATTTAAGGATTCACATATCTGCACAAAGGTCTACGTGGTCCGTCGAGTACGGGGGCGAGGAAGGGCCTGCGCGGCAGTAGCGCCCCCTCCCCCCCCCCCCCCCCCCCCCCCCCCCCCCCCCCCCCCCCCCC